GAAATCATATGCAGTAAAGTGTCTGAATATGAAGACCCGTACTGTGGACGGGAGTTCCCAGGCTTCATCACCTACTGGACATTTGAGGACATTATACAAGAGCAAATTTCAAAGCTGGAGGAGCCAGCTGTTGTGATGCTGAACAAAGTGATCTGTATGTCCCACAGGCCACACAAGGCCATAGCATGGGTGACACTGGTGTGCCTGGTAATCTTGTGTCCAGAACAAGCCACTGTTAGCATTGATGGAGTAAGAGCTCCAGCTGGGATGCTTCAATGTGGAAGTGAATCCCACTCAAACTGTGGGATTATTCCTTCTCTAGAGCTGAGACCTCAAATCTCTGCATATGACCTTAAGAATTTTTTAGTACACTTCCCAGTGGCTGGGAATGGGGAATTAGAAAGTAACTATAATACACAATACTGTAAAGAAATAGCATCCTGGAATGCTACTTGGTGCCAACCAAGCTGGCTGATATTGCCAGGCCCAGTTAATGGGATTCATAAACTTGAACTGGGAATCCAACTTCTTTGCCAGTTCTTTGCATAAGGGTATATATATTGCACAGTGACTACTGGGGGTGGGGGAAAGGATAACTCGTCCCATAAGTAACACCGAAGGAAAAAGTATGTCACAATCATTTCTCTGCCATGTTTGCTTTAGAAAACAGCTACAGCATCTGTGCCAGTCAGGGCCTGTATTACAGGCACCAGCCCCTCTCTTGGAGTGGCCTGTGGGGAATGAGAGGCAGATGTGCCTGTGCGGCCGAGCGATGACCCACCTGGTCAAACTGAAAGCACATAGATTGCTTTATCTAAAAGTCTCAGGGATATTAAATATCTGACATGGTCTTTAGTGACTCATGCACATGGGTCTAGAAATCTAAATTCCTTTTTGTTTGTATGGTCATAAAGGTATCTTACATCGGGACGGATACCCAGCTATTTCAGTCTGAACACAGAGAGACAGTTGTTTTTCCAGGCCTCATATTGTCAATAACTTAAAAACCTAATTTTCTTACCTGACTTTGTTTTGTCTGTCTGTTCTTCCCTTAGGTATGGTTGAAGAGAAATTTTTGCAGCTGGCTAACAAGCATTTTGCTAATTTTCAGAACTTAAACAAAGCTGCTAAGGTGAGGGACTAGCCAAAACCTGAGATAATTCAAGAGCAAAACAGAATGATGTTTGTAAATTTAGCTATGCTTATGGCACCTATTCCATCTCAGTATATGCAACTATGTGATTTCCTGACAGTCTGTGATTTTTATAAGTTAAGACATTTCAAACAACTGCATGTTTGTAATGGCACTAATGAAAGCACACTTTACCTTTTGGTGCAAATAAAAAGGAGCAGCAGCTAATAAGCAGGCCATTTAACCATGATAGATCTTTTTGCAGTTTGGAGGTGTCCAGGTTTTGGGGTGGAGTTAAACAATATGGATGTCCTTGAATACCTTTTCTGGGAAAGATCTTTGAAGAAGAGTTGAGATGCGCTGTTGGCCTGCCATGAAGCAGAACCCACTCACAGGACACTGCTTGATGGGAAACTCATAGGCAAATGCAAGTGCAACAACTGTCTGCTGTGTAACTTGCATGGCCAAACCCTATTAAAGTCCCAAGACAACCAAACAGTAAGCAAACAAGCTATTTCAGCCAAGCACAGAGGTGCAGTGTCTTCAGGCATAACATAATGAGAGGAAGTGCAGCAGAAACGCTAACTCACAGTGTGAAGCAGTGACCTGGGGGGAAGGCAGGGCCAACCTGGGGAGCTCAGGTGCAGTGCAATGCACCTGAGCAACCAGAAGGGATGGAGCCAGGATCCACCCCTTCCCAGACCTCAGTTAGGGGCTGGCAGTGAAGGTAAGTAAGTGTATCTTGCTGGAGATCCTTGCCTACTGGAGGCCTTCCAAGGTAAGCAGCTTTTCTTCTTTTGTTGCTGTATCCACAGCTGCTGCATTTGGGCTTGTTCTCATTTGCTGCAGACTAGGATTGTGCCACAGTGCTATTATTGCTTTACTTTCCATCACATTACAGCAGTACAGGAAGGAAGAAAGGAGGAGATTCTGATAGACTCTGAGGGAAAAACAAAAATTCTATTCTGATGTAGGAATGCTAAGTTAGCATTTTTGGAGACCTTGTGGATGAAAGAGAGGAACTTATTTTCTCTGCAGGCAGATGGTAGCACTAAAAAGGTGAAAAAAACATCATGTTATTTTTAAAAAGATTCTAGATTGCTATGGGTTAGATAGGGTAAGAAATCGTGCTTTTGAGAATGATGGGAGGGGAAATGGAGCTCACATCAGTACTGCTTCCACTGCCTACTTCAAGAAGGAGATTCAGCGGAAATGCATGCAAAAGCAATCAAAAACTGAGCAGGTGCAAAAACTGAGGGCAGGCTGAAGTCATCGCTGGCAGTTGTTGCTTGTTCCCACCAATCTTGGGATTTTCCTTCAGGATACAAGCACCAGGTTTCAATTTGATTTGACATGATCCCACTTGTTTCTCATGAGGGGACCAAACGCTATGTTTTCCTGCTCTTTCATGGGAAAGGAACCAGAAGCTAAAACATCAAAGTATGCACCAAGGGCCAACCTGGGATTAGCAAGTGCTGCTACTAGCAAGTTGCAAGTGCAACTACATCTACTTCACCTTCCTGAGGGATGTTGTTAAGCATCTCAGAACTTGTTCTTTTCTTTTCCAGGCCAGAATTGGTTGCATTAGAGACAGACAAGCAACGACTGCGAAAAACTTCATCCAGACTCAATTTAAAATGGAGAGAACTGTATACTGCCAGGATAACATTTACGCAGATGATTTAAAAGCTGCCAGGGCAGAAAACATCAACAAAAATACAAAAATCAAAGACCTTAGTCCTAAAATTGCTTCAAGTCAAGGTCCCAGCTTTGTCCTGGAAATGGTTTCTCACACAAAGGCCTATTTCACTGTAAGTTTGCAAACTACAATGCAGTACACCAATGCCCTTTGGCTGGCTTCTCCTATGGGAACAAGAGCTAGGGGGATGGAAGGACTGTTACTTACCTGACTTGGGGGAGAGGAAAGACTTGGGGGAGAGGAAAGCAAGGGAAGAGCCCTGTAATGAGAAATTAATGATATCTGGATGATGGCAAGGCCTATTGCTCCAGTTGGATTCTAAACTCAGAGGGCAGGAGGAGTTGTAGTCAAATAATTGGTTAAAATGGATTTGGCTCTCTGTAGAGATCAGAGTGGCTATGCCACATCGCATACAGCTCAGAAGTTAAATGGAGATAAATGGGATACTTTAACAAAAGAGCATTTTAGAGCAAGACAGCCAAGAGAATGCACAGTATGAGAATATGCTTTTGATCTTTGTTTCATAAACTCCCTCAGTAAGCACCAAGTTAAATATTAATGCGCTAACTTAGGTAGTTGTTCACCTTGAATTTCAGTAGAAAGGTTTCCGAAGCATTGCTGTAACTGAATGTTCAGGCTGTTCTTCCAGTTTTTTGCATTGATAAGCTTTCAGGGAGCAAAAGACAAAGGCAAAATTGCATAAACCTCTTCCCTTCAGCCTCAGATACTTTCTACTATACCACAGAGTCTTGAAGGATAGTTGTACAGTTGTAAATGCCCTAAACACCCTTTTCAGCATTAACTAAATACTGGGGCATCACAACTCCTGGAGACTTATGCAAGGCCAAATACATGAGATGAAATTAGGTTAAAGCTCTTAAGTGTCCATGGTATTTGAAAATGGCATGCCTCATCCCATGTCAACTAAGAAAGTTCAAGATTCTGTGTAGGGTTTAGCTCCAAAATCACAGAATACGTAGGCTCAATAAGCACCCTGCTAACTGCTGAATTGCTCCATTTTTACTAGATCTCTGCAAACTAGAAAGAAAAACTAAATATCTAGTCTTTGGCATTTTTCATTATCCTTGTAGATGAAAGGTTTACAGCTGCTGAGCTAAAGCAGTACCTGAAGCCAGAAAAGACCAAGGCTTTGCTGGTGATGGGTGGCCTAAGTCCTTCAGGACCTCTAAATCAAACGTGCCTCCACCTGGTCTACCTGCTGCTATCTTCAAGTCATATGCCACAAAAAGAAAGGAAGATAGAACCTCTGTTATTTGTAGCCAGACACTCATGTTGAAGTGCTCTTCTAGATGCAGAATATTTCTTATCAAGGTTAACAGAGAGAGAGAAGCTGAGAGTGGCCTGACTTAGGTTTAGTTCACTGAGGGAAAAAAAAGCTACAGCTGACAATCCCATAAATCTTAACTTCTAGAATTTTTAGGAACAAAAGGCATTAATGGCATTTTTTAGATCCAAGAAACACTCAATTCCTTGAATAGCAACTCCACACAGTGTTTTAAAAGTGTGCTGTCACTTCATAGTAGAGTACCTACAGCCTATTTTTTCTTCTTTTAGGAAAACAAGTCTTCACTCTTTTTTTTTTTCTCCTCCTTGTAGGGAGCAAGCAAACGCCTGAGCAATCAGATTCCTCTGATCATCCTCTCTACTGTCCTTCGTGACTTTGGAGATTTTTTGCAGATCTCAATGTTGCATCTGTTGCAAGAAAAAGAAGGATTAAACCACTTACTCCAGGAAGATCATGAAGCTGCTAACCACCGGGAGTTACTAACCAGCCAAATTAGTCGCCTCAACAAAGCCTACCAGTACCTAGTAGACTTTAAGTCTCTGTAGATTTCTTCATCAGTCAGAAGTATTTTTCTGCTTTTGCTTTCTAGCATTAATGAAGATCTTTGCAAAATCCTCCAAAGCCTAATATTAGCAGCAACCAATACCAGTTTATAGATTTTTCTAATGATTTAGCGGCCTACTTCTGTCTTATTTTCCATAGTCTGATACGCCTACCCTTGTCTAAGCTCCACTGCAGTAGTCGTAATAAAATGCTATCCCACCTTCAAACATTTATTATAAACTTTGTCTTCCATACAACAGTAAAATAATTTTTTTAAAAGGTTGAGCTCTGAGGTAGGTGGTTTTGGTTTTTTTAAAGGATAGGGAGCTTTTAGCTGTGGAACCCAAAAACTGTAAAAATCCAATAACGTAACTTTCTTAGATCAAGTTTACTGCACAACCCCAATGGTCCTTCTGCTTCTCTCTGTGATTTTGCTGAAGTTGTTGTATTGCCTACCTTGTATAAAAGGTACTCATGCAACACGTTATCACTGGTAAGTCCCATCTCTGTGGATAGAGATGGTGCTCACAGTGTGTCTGAAACAGTTCCAGCATAAAGGGAAATAACTACAGCTGACAGGTATACCCACAAGATAATGTTAGAATATGTTTCTCTTTTTTTCTCTGACTTACATGGTTATGGTTAGAAAACCAAGATGTTTTTCTATTGGGTGCCTGGACCTCCACCTGAGATTTTGGGGTTGATGGTGGATTCACCAGACCACTGGATTGAGTTGTCTATAACAGATTAATCCACAAGACACTGAAAAGAAAGATGCCTTAGCACACGGCATGCTAGCTTGTATCTCTCCCTTCCCAGACTGAGGAGAACCTTTCTAAAAGTTGTCTTTCATTTCATGGAAGGCAGTGCAAAACGTAATACTGCACGTTGTAATTGTGACATCTTTCATAGGGAGCTTTTAACAGGCAAAACTATTCTTTGTGCAGTGAGTGAGGGCTGTCTGCATTCTGCTAAAAAAATAAAAATGTGCCTATTCCAGTTTGTCATGCAGCAGTTCCCAAGACAGTTACAAGTGAAGCCTTCTCTTTGTGACATGGCAGCAACAGGTGGCTGATTTCTGCAGCACAGAACTCAACCCATTGGAGCATGCAGCATTTGTAACCCTACTAAGCACTACCAACAGTTTTCTACATCTGCTGCTGCTGCTGACTTGCAGCACCGCAGTTCACAAGCCCTATAAAAACCTGATTCCATAACACTGAAACATATTTAATTTCTATTTTGAATGCGCTTTAAACTTACCAACTACTTCATGGTATCCCCTATGGGGTGCATGACAATCACGTGCTACTGAAACACCCCTAGAGAAAACAGGCAGGTACACACTGCTTTGGGCAGGTGAGACATAATAACAACTTAGGGTGCAATTCCCTCACCCCTCTGCTTTTCAGTCTAAACTTCCTCATTTAACTCATCTCATAAACCCAAGTGATTTTGGCAGCTCTCTCCCCTGAAGACATCCAGCATCCCTGAACAGCCACCAGCTTTTCCCCTGGGTTTATGCAGAAACCTGAAATTCTGGAGTTAAAGAAAACTTTTGGATAATCCTCTTGCTTTTTTTTTTGTCCCGCTTCTTTTTTTCTTGCATCAGCTTCTCAGAGGATTTCAGACACTGAATCTAGCAACTGCTTCTAAGACATCCCAAACAAACTACAACAAAGGAAAATTATTTGTAAAAAAAATATATATTTTTTTATTTGGTGCAGTGTTTCCATGCAAGATAATTGCATTTCAGTACCAACAAGACCAGAAGCGTCATTTATTTCAAAAAAATTATCCTTCTTAATAAAAATGACTTGTTATGGCTTTTTGATCCTCTGTCCTATGATTATAAATTATTTTCCAAATCTTAGTCAAAGTGGCACTCTGATATTCATTGTATTTTGCTAAAAACATCATGCAGATACCTAAAAGAGAGCTGAAAGTACTAAAAGCCAAATTTAATAAATGAGGTAGTTCACCTGGTTAGGCAGAAACACAGGCTTGCGTCTCCTCATCCAGAACACTCAGCCCCCAGATGGGCACTGCAGCCAGAGGTCTGCTGCCTGCAGCACACCCCACGGAGCAGCATCACATCCTCTGGATACACGTGGCAGGGGACCTTGCTGGCAGGATGCTCAGCTGCCTCCTTCCTGCTGCAGCTCTGGAGCGTTCCTCTCTGTCACCTATATGGGGAGCGATGGCAGGTCCTGCCCTTTCAGGATTCACAGCAGTTCAAGGCAGAAGAGCACTTTTAATTACTGAGAGGATCAGACTGATCTTACTTGGAGCAATCTGAGTTAGATGACGGCTGTCATGATCCTGAGGATTTATAACTACCTGAATATACAGTTTGTTTGTTTTTTTTTTCCTGTGCCTCTACTACCGTAGTGCATGAAAACTTCCCTTCATATATACCAAAAAAACATTCATTTCTTCTTACATTGCCAACCAGCAGCTCAGAGATTCAATATTCACATTACTTAACAGTTAAATTAAAACCCTACAAAACCAACTGTCTCAGAACCCTGCTACAAAAATCTGAAATTGTGATTAAAATTTCCATTTTAAACCTGCACCTGATTACCAAGTGAGAGTTACTCAGCTAAAAAAAAAAAAAAAATCTCAGCAAGCAGTTAGCAGAACAACTTTCCGCCAGGCACCCCATCAATAAAGGTGCTTGTTGTGATAATCCCTCACTGACTAAAACCAGTCACTGTAGCCAGCACATAATCCAGTGTGCAATCCTTCATGTTATTAAAAAAAAAAAAAATTCAGAGAGAAAAATCATTTGTAAAAGTGAATAAATATCCCAGGCACCCATGGCTTCATTTTCTCTTGTTCTCAGAAACTCTGAATGAGAAATGGCGCTGTCATCTGTTGGCCTGTTTAAAAAAAAAAAACAAAAAATAAAGAACAAGGGCTCTAGCTGTGCTGACAGATCATCTTATCAATTGCTTGGATGCTTCTCAATGGAATAATTCTATTGTCAGTTAAGTCATAGGACATAAATGATTAAATTCAAGTTTCAAGACTTGGGGCATTTAGAAAGACAGAAACATTTTACCTGCATATTTTTATAAATCCAGTCTGTAAACACAGTCATATTTCCATAAACTCCAGGCCTGTTGGGACTAGCGCAGCCAGATCCCCAGCTGGTATCTCCAACCAACCACCACACCGAGTTTTTGTTTGTTACCAGAGGACCTCCGCTGTCACCCTGCACAAAACATTGGTGCATTGTTAGTGACTGGCCACCAGTGAATCATAGAATGGCCTGGGTTGAAAAGGACCACAATGTCCATCTAGTTTCAACCCCCCTGCCATTTGCAGGGTCACCAACCACCAGACCAGGCTGCCCAGAGCCACATCCAGCCTGGCCTTGAATGCCTCCATGGATGGGGCATCCACAGCCTCCTTGGGCAACCTGTTCCAGTGTGTCACCACCCTCTGTGTGGAAAAACTTCCTCCTAACATCTAACCTAAACCTCCCCTGTTGCAGTTTAAAGCCATTCCCCCTTGGAATATGAGTTGGATTTCAAAAGGAAGAGCTAAACACTATTGCAAGAGAGCAACTACAACAAAACACTATGGTAATTACTGTATTAAATGAAGACTATACGCCATAGGAATGAAAATAGTTTGCCCAAAGCACTAAACAAGACAGACTTCACTGACTTCCTTGTTCAGAAGCATAATGCTACAGTATTATAGTGATTACAAAGAGCATTTGTTCATTTTCAAGTATGAGATAACCAAACACCCTTGAAGCACATATAAAGGTTACCTCAGCCTCTCAGTATATTTAACAAGACCTCAGCACTGGCCCCCATGCAGAGCATGACACAAAAGCTCTCCCTTTCAAAGGACGTGCCACAAAATAAACTAGAAGCCCAACTAAAGACATATTAGTCAATTAGTTTGGAATTAACAGATGATAAAATCCCTACTAACAAGAGCACAAAAAACGATCAACCAGATCACTCTTAGATGTTAATTAGAAATAGTTACCTGACAAGAATCAATTCCTCCTTGTAAATATCCAGCACAGACCATTGTAGGCAAGACCATGCCATCATAGACATAGACAGAATTACATGTAGAACGTTCTATTAAGGGTACCATGACATAATTCAAGTCACTTGCTGTTTTACCTAAAATTGAAACATGCATGAAAACACATAAAAACAAAGACAATGTTAGAATAAGCATCAGGTTACATTCCTATTACAAATTTCAGTGGCTAGCATTACTCAAATCAAAATAAAATTATGAGAAATTCAGGGATGGACGCTTAAGATGCAAAATCCGTCAAGCAGAAAATACCCTGACATTAAAACTCCTTCCCTAGGGGATATTTACTCTGCATTGCTGTTAGCATACTGTAAATCAAGTAGTGTAAATCAATAACGACCTGCCTACTACAAGCCCAACCAACTATATTAGCCATAGGGCTATTAAAAGCACGTGAATAAAGCAATGAATGAAAAAGTCATCCTCGGTTTCGCGGTCCAGCACTAGGCGGCAGCAAATCCCAAATTCAACAGCCCCGTCCTACCCCCAGACCACAAACTCCATATAATCATAGAATCGTTTGAGACAAAAGGGATCCTTAAAGGCCATCTATTGCAACCCCCCACGCAATGAAGAGGCACATCTACAGCTACATCAGGTTGCTCAGAGCCCCATCCTGCCTGAGTTTGAATGTCTTCAGGGATGGGACATCCACCACCTCTCTGGGCAACCTGCCAGCACCCCACCACCCTGATTGTAAAAAATTTCTTCCTTATATCCAATCTAAATCTCCACTCTTACTCTGAAACCATTTTCCCTTGTCCTGTCACAACAGACCATGCTGAAGAGCCTGTCCCCTTCCTTCTTGTATCCTCCCCTTTGGATACAGAAAGGCTGCTCTCAGGTGTCCCCAGAGTCTTCTTTCCTCCAGGCTACACAGCCCCAGCTCTCTCAGCCTTCTGATATTGCCTCCTTTTTCGCTCTCAGTTCTTACAAATTTTTCTAGTCTGAAGAGGATTGGCTGTGTAGAAGACCCAAATGTGTCAGAACCATGCTTACCTCCTTGGTACTCTGCTCCCCACCCAGATATCCAGCACAGCTGATTAGGCTGGAACATCATTCCCGGGTTAGGCAGACAAACTGGCCGTATAGTATCTACAAAGCAAATACAGTGACAGTCTAGCCCCGGATGTCCAGGCATAATGCAAAACAAGTGGATACGACATTACTCAGCATGACCAGCATTTGCTTTAAATACATACACGCTGTGCTCTTTTCTCTGTACTTTACCCTCATTGCAGTTAAGCAACACCCTGCAACACAGGCAGCAGTGAAAAGCTAAGCAGTTGCTCCTTCCTAGAGGACTACTGCATTCTGACCGCAAAGCTGAGCACAGTTAGTGTGTCTAGCTCTATTCAACCAGCAACCTGGCTACCTGCAACAATTAACAATAGTTTGTGTGATCAGTAAACAAGGACGAGAAGAAACTCTTCCAACAACTAGCTTAATCCTGTTTGCAAAATCCTGCTGAAAATAATCACTAATGCAAGTAGGATTCAATGCTTGTATACAAGAAGGGTGAAATAAAAGATTCCAGACAAACATTTTAGCAAGCAGACAACCTCCCTACACTCAGCAGCAGAAGAGTCCCTCCAGATTACCTCTAGTAGGTTTAAGCTGATGCACTGAAATTCAGGACTTGTAAGTATAGCACCTACACACAGAACCTATATATATATATGAAGTACTTTAAGTAATGTTTTATATTTCAGTTTCTATGGCTTGCTCACAAAGAAGCATGCCCTCTTTTGAAGAAAATCCCTTTTCAGTTTTATGTATTAAAAAACTGTTACCAATCTGCTAACATGGGGAATCATAGAACAGCTTGGGTTGGAAGGGACTTCAAAGCCAATGCCACCCCAACCCCTGCCATGGGCAGGGCTGCCCCCACCAGCTCAGGCTGCCCAGGGCCCCATCCAACCTGGCCCTGAGCGCCTCCAGGGATGGGGCACCACAGCTTCTCTGGGCAGCTGTGCCAGCGCCTCACTGTTCTCCTAATATCTGACCTAAATCTCCCTTTTTAGTTTACAGCAAGGAATCTGATCAAGAGCTTGGAACAGAGGCTTGGGTTGGTTTTTAGGGGATTGGGGTTTTTTTATTGGTTGGGCACATTAAGGTATCTCTACTCATACTCTTTTGTTCTTCCTGTAAGTACCCACAAGGACTTCTTGATTTCTTGATGAACTTCGGAAGTTTTAAGAGTTATGCTCACTAGCCCTGCTTTTTTTTTTTTTTTTTTTTTTTCCCCCTTAAGAAGAGCAGAATACATACCAGTAAAACTCAGCGGTGTCTCTAACTTCATAAGGGCAACATCATTGTCTTTAGAATCTGTATCGTAATTTGGATGGGAAATTATTTTTTGCACTCTGTATCCAGGCATCAAGTGCATCTCATTCTGGTTCAGAATCCCAGCATAAACAGTCCAGATGTATGGGTCAGAAAATTGTCTACAGAAAAAAACAAGTGTTAGAAGGTTTGCTTTGCTGGCAGAGAAACTCAGCTACAGAACCCCAGAATCACAGAATTGTAGGGGCTGGAAGGGACCTCCAGAGATCATCCAGACCAGCCACTCTGCAAAGCAGGCCCCCTATCTCAGGCTGCACAGATAGGCATCCAGGTGGGTCTTGAATATCTCCAGAGAAGGAGAATCCACAGGCTCTCTGGGCAGCCTCTTCCAGTGCTCCATCACCCTTACTGTGAAGAAGTTCCTTCACGTTTTGGTCTGAAACTTCCTATGCTCCAGCTTAAGGCCATTTCCCCTTGTCCTGTCCCCACAGACCACTGAAAAGAGGTTGGCCATGTCCTTTTGACTTCCACACTTAAGATACTTACAAACATTAATCAGATCCCCTCTGAGTCTTCTTTTCTCAAGGCTGAACAGACTCAGGTTGCTCAGCCTTTCCTCATACAGGAGATGCTCCAGATCCTTTATAATCTTGGTGGCCCTCCGCTGGACTCTCTCCAGGAGATCCCCATCTTTCTTGTACCAGGGAGCCCAGAACTGAGCACAGTACTCAACCTTCCAAGAATTGTCTTTACTATCCATAACTAAGAGTGCACACGTATTTGACTGCCACTTCTGAAGGCAAAAGCGAACAGTAACTCTTGCCTTCTTTAATTTTGGCCAGCCTACCTTCATCAGTCAACTTCAGCAGCATCATTTTTACTGTAATGCAAATGTATTAACAAAAACTGACAAGGTTTTTAGTTGTTTTTTGTTTGTTTGTTTGTTTTTTTCCCCCTGAAAGACAAAGTACAGGCCATCTAACTTCAGGAGAGCTTGATTCCAGTTTCATAAATGTACAAAATTATTTGAAGTAAGTTAAGTATCACTGTCAATCCCCTTTGTCACTCAGCACAGCAAATTATAGCCTGAGACTGGAACACTGAAGCCTCTATTGATTTCACCAACTGAGGGATCAAGGTGTTATTTCTGAAGTCTCATATGTCAGTGTTATCACTCTGCTATCCAAAACATGGAAGGGCAGCAGAAACCAGAATTAGCAAAAACAATCCAGTGAAGGAATTTCTGTATCTTGAAAATGCTAGGTGGCTGTTTGGTTGGTTTTTGTTATTTTTATTTTTAACATTAGGCATATTCACTAGATGTAATTTAAGTAGTCTCTGTGCTCCAGAACAATTCCCACATGCTCTGTAGAGGACTTTCTACATGTGTTAAAACTCCCTCCCCTGGAACTGACAACCACTGTGCAAAAAAATAAAATAAAATAAAATTTAATCTGAATCTTAAAACCCAGCTACACCTTGGTTCACCACTCCTAGAACTTTTGTATATTATGGAGCACACACTAGAAAGCAGAGGAGGGATAAGATCTTCACATAGAACTAAATGCTCACATTCCTTTCTCAAGGTTAAGGACAAAGTTATTTTCCCTTGGCTGAGCCTCAAACTGTGATTCAACCAACCGTTAAAATGTCTTTGCTCATTGGGTTTTCCCTCCAATAAAAGCAGCTGCCTTTAAACATAAATGCACTTAACTGTCCTTTAACTTTCTGCTTTCAAGTTAAAAATTGACAAAATACCAGCTCTCCTTCTCGTTGAAGCCTACACAAAGCATTCCCCAGATAGTTATACATACATCTATGGTTAATACTGGCTTGGGCTTTACTACCCTGCGGCATGAAGACACGAGGAAATAAAGGCACTCACCCCTCCACGCAGTGGGCTGCCGTCACCAGCCACTCATGGGTGATGATGGAGCCTCCACAGATGTGGGTGCCCTGCACATGGAGGCTCACCTGCCATGGCCACTGCCCCAGCGTCGCCATGCTGCCACCCACAATCCTGCTCATGATGGCTGTGCTTTTAGTGGACAGGCCGCACTCTGAGGAGTCAAGCATACACAGGCATGCATTAGAGAGAGCTGGTTTCAAAGGTGGTTTCTTCATCCCAAGCTTCACTAAAGCTCAATAGAAAGGGAGCACGGACACATCCACTGCACTGCTGTGAATTCATGCCACAGCCCAGCCACTGCTCTACGGTGCTCAGACTCATGGGGACAGGGTGGACCAAGGCTCCAATCCTGCACATTGCCCTCCTCATTGGTAGCTGTGGCTCACAGTTCATCACTTCAGAAGTGTACTGTGAGAGGGTTGTTTGTTACACCCCTGAACTTTGAGTGTCTTTGGTGAGCCGCACAGACACACACCACTGTGCAACAGGACAGGCAACACCCAGAGGTCACCTCACTGTGGTGAGGAACAGTGATGACCACCCAATGGCCATGTGTCAGACGGTGCACTAAAGACTTACCTCCACATCGCACAGCAGTGATCACAGAGCTCACCATGGGGCAAGTTGTTTAAAGGAACATGTAACAAGAAAGAGAGAGCTGGGGACCTAACATCCCCCTTTCTCCTCTTCCATTCTGCTCCTTACAGTCTGAAACCTGGGTACAGAATTTAATCATGGTTCCCATCAAACAATCATTCATGCAGATTCAAAAGGATTTATGGACAGAGCACTTCAAGGCATCAACAAGTAGAAGTCTGGGAAACGTACACTTACCTATGCAGCGTAGAGAAACCACATTTCCTGATGCACAGTAATCACTGCAATAGAAATAGAAAAGAGCAAACAGGCTTTAGGACACCCAGAGAAGCAGACAATGGGCAGAGCTCATCCTCCAGCTGCTTCCTACCCATTTCAGCTATATGCCCTGCCTCCATGCTCATCTTCCTGCTGAGGCTTCCCTCCTTTCTTCACTCTCTCCAGCAACCCTACCAATACCCATCTGGCCTTCACCGTTTCATGCAGTCACGTGGAAGACTGCAGACCACAGTACAGCCAGGCAGCACATAAGGCTTGTAAGCCTATTGAGGAGCAAGATAAAGAACAGCATAAGAGAAAATTGAATTCATTTATGAAAAAGTCATAGAAGAATTTGAACAACAAGGGAGTAAGACGATAACTTTTCAGGTATAGCAATCTACAGGTTTGGGAATAAGAGGCTTCAGACTTGTTTAATGCAACTTTGACATGTCAACCTTCCAAATAGCACAGAGGAACACGATAGGGCATCAACACTTTTAAAAGAAGAGTGGAAGGATGGAGAAGTGTTTTTAAATACAGAGAAGAGCAGCTGCTGCAAGCAGACTGAAAACAAGGTCTCTTTCCTTTTATTGTTAGACAGGCTACATCTCCTACAACAGATGAATAGATAAAAAGAATTTCTTGATAAAAAGAAATTAGTTTGTATTAAGCAACGATACCTGCTTTGCAGCCTTTTGTACAAGTCTGTATTCCCCGCACTTGAGTTCAGCTTCATAAAGCTTTTAATGGCGATATCAGCTGCTACTCCTTGACTATAGTAATATGTATCTCTGTGAAACAGAAAGATCGTAACTAAGAAAGAAAACCAGCAGTTTTGGTTTTCAAACAGATGACAATAAATAATGCCAAGCCACGGTTTCTGACACAAGCAATTCTAAAATATTAATTTCTTTTTGCATTAAGCACAGAAAGAACCCAATGGTGCAGTACAAGTGCCAGAAAGTGATTCTTAAAGAAATCTTTCAAGCTCAGTTTCCCATCAGACAGTTAATTAGTAGATTAAAATAATATTGTTATCTATTATGTGTACATGATACCAATCTTCATGAAACAAGGCATGATGAAGAGATGCCTTTGCATCTCTACATACATAGTAAAGTTCAAGTCTAATAAGTTCTAGCAGCCACATTTCTATGGGACAGCTGCAGGGGTAGTAAGTGCTGCTGCTCTGCAGGGCTTCCCAGCTGAGGAACAACCCTGCAACACTGCCGCTGGGCTGACTTACTGTCTGGGAACTAACTTTGGTTATTGCTGGTTCAGAGTATTTAATTACAAGTGCTGCAGGCAACCTGTGCACGTGCCAGATCTGCCTGGGCAACTAATTGCCCTCATTACATTACACACTGGAAGACATCATTTGCCACATCAGAGACAGGCAACATAAAGTATTTCAACTGCAAAAGAATTCAGGCTACAGCATTACGTACGGAGAACATGGACAGCATTCTTGCCACAAACATTTGTGCTGATCTTCCACACAATCATCTGTTATCTGTGTCCTCAGGAGAACAAGGCTTTCCATGTAATACTGATGACAAATTAAGCCTGAATGGATGTTACTGGGCAATTCTAACAATCTGGTACAGTGAAGCAAGCTTTGGAGGATTACTATGAGTGAATGTTTACATACAAGTGACCCCACGGAGTAACTACTGCATGCATGCCAGACACACATCACCTGTCGGAGGAACCTTCCATTTTGATTCTGTAACACCTATCACTGTTAAATTAGATCCGCTTGAGTTCAACAAAGCTAGATCACTAACTGCTTTTTGTTTCTGATTTGTATTCTTTAAAACTGCAAGATGGAAATAGTATCTTTTCCATGTATTTGCAAAGACTGACGAAGGTCAGACTTACACACTGTAGCCCATGTCTTGACATGCAATCTTTCCAAAATCATCAGTCCAGTCATCTTGACAAACAGGGTACCAGGTTTGGCTGACAGGTGAATAAACTTCCAGGATGAAGTTTGGTCCATAAAGTCTAACTGCCAGAAAAGGAAGAAAAGAACAAATCCCAAAAACATAAGAACACCACGCACGCTGTGTTACTGCTCTATTTAAAGCTTCTGCCACCCATGATATTTGTATGCAGAAGCTGGTGCTAATTTAATGCTGCCATCTATTCAAATTGTGAATAAATATTCAAGTAGACAGAAATACTACAAAGATTTAGTTCTTTTGCATAAGGCAATTTAAAAGTTCTTGAAATTTTAAGGGAAAGTATGCAATATAGTGTTCATTATTTCAGTTCTTATTCTCAAAACTCTTTCATATTCTAACACTGCAGAAGACTGCAATACTCAATTTTTCATTTTTTACCTACACAACATGTATTACACGTAAATAAAATATGACCTGACATAATCTATTTCTGTTATATGTTAATATGCCAAATTGCTTCAGACAAATGCTATAGAGCAAAAACATAACAATGAGCAATCTTCTATGCCCCATTGTGTATTTATCTGCAGAAGAATTTACTGCAAAATAGTTCAAGTTAAAGAGCAGACTGAACAAGCTTCTCCAAAAACTCATTATTCAACTAAATGGAGAGGAACAGCTGTTAGAGCACATGCCAGTAAAAGCTAATATTGCACAAAGCACGTACAGAACAGGAGTTCACAAACAGCATAAGCACAACACAGGTGCTACATCAAAATGCCAGACCTTTGGAATGGGCAAACAGATTACACTTTCACCTTACAATTTAAGCTTTCCACCACTGCTTTTCTTGTCAGCTCTTGAGTTGGAAAAACACTAATCAGACCAAGCTTTCTTACACAAAGCAGATGTGAAGCTGAAAATAAGTATTGGGAGAACAAGGAAGGTGAAATATGCGGAAAAAGATCTATACTATCACCTGAAGTTCTACAATAACAGTTAATTCCAGAGCCAATGTCATACTCAAGTTTGCACAAACCAAATTCAAATAAAAAGAGAAACAGTTTTTAAAATATTAAAACTCAAGCAAACTCAACTCTGAGCCAGTCATTTTGCTTCAGCTTTTCAATCAACTGGAAACTGACTGAAGATCCAGAATAGGATTTGATGTATTCAAACATCCCAAGCCATTTTAGAGATACAGCTGAGCCTAAGTTGGCCCTATGGTAACTTGGCAAGCTTTAGACGAGGGACTTTGTTCAAGAACTCTTGCTGGCTGGAGGTACCCTGCCTTGACTGCTGGTACTCACCACACCGGTTTTCATCCTCCCCATTTGGGCAGTCAGTTGTTCCATCACACCACGATGAGGGAGAAATGCACACTCCTGAAGATCCACACTCTATTAAGGATCCAAGACAACGATTCTCGACTGAAAGGGGAGAGCAACAGTCATCAGACTGAACATCAGCTTAGCCTCAAGCAATCACCACCAGCTCTCACCTTAAGGAGCATGTCAGTTTGATAGAGCAAAGCACAGCAAACTCTTAAACTCAGAGCTGGGAGGAAACCTTGCCTAACACAATCAAAGATTTATTGCTCTGTCCTTCACATCACTCGTCAGCTTAACTCATTGATGCAGCTGACTGAATTTTGCCCATTGCCTCCCCCAAATAAAAAAAACTAAGTTTTCTAAAAGGAGTCAACTTCACACCAACAAAGCAGAGAAGAAAGAATAAATTAGTCACACCTTGTTGTTTTCAGTCCTGCTTAAAAGAAGATTACATTCACCCTGCATAAATCGAGTTAAAAAAAAAAAAAAAAACAACTAAGAACACAAAGTGACTGCCTAATAATTTTAAATGAACTACCTTCTGCTTTCCTTTCCTTTCCCATACGAACAGAGAGGTTCCGAACAACATAGCAAATTGTTCTTCAATTTTCTTAGAAAAATTATTCAATTGAAAGGGAAATTAAGTTATCACAAAATCAGCTTGGGTAAGCCGAACATAACTGCTGTAGCCCAGCTTCAGTGCTCAGTCATTCCGGTTGGAGATGACGTCCAAGTTCAACATGTCACCTGTGTTCCAGCTTACGGTGGTTACCTGGACTGGGCACACATAACTTTAACCCACTTGCATCAAAAGCCTCACAAAAGCAAACAAACATAGGCGAATTAGTTCAGCTTGAAGTATGGTCCCATATTACCGAAGTAAAATACGTCTTGATCATTTACCTTAACTTTAGCAGTAAAGGCATATGAATTTACTTCGTCTCCTTTCTTTCTTTGAAGCTAAGCCAAATTAGAATTTAGAATACACTTTCATTTTAGTGTTGATATATAGTAGTAATTTCCCAAGTTAATTGTACTGTAGGATCAGTTGCCCACAGTCACATGCCAGCTATCCACCAAAACACAAACCCTTTTAAGATGTCGAGCTACTCTTTAGTGTAACTACTACAACATAGAGTAGTACTGCCTCAGCTTTTCCCAGACAGATTGTAGCTTTCCAGAAAAGCCAGCTGTTCCAGAGGAGTCAAAAAAACTGATGACATCACTTGATTTCAAAACTATATTCATTTGACAAAATGAAAAGAAAGCAATAGTAGCACTATTAAAAAACAAACAAACATCCCACAGTTAAAGCCTTTTTTTAAAAAAGCCACATTAGTTTATCTCTTATGAAACAGGTAACAAAGACTTCCTTGCCCTTATTTCAGCATAAAATGAAAGACAAGAATCTATATTTATAACTTTAAAAGATCACTACATCTTTTTTTTTTTTCCAAAACAACAACAAAAAGAATAATTCTTACCAAAATACCAGATCAAGAAAGCAGCAATTGCACAACCGATGACTATTAAAATGGATACTATAATTATTATAATTTTCTTTATACCTGAAATGAAAGTATAAATAAAAAATGAGAAATTAGGTTCACAAATAAGGTAATTTTCAGCATGGTCACAAGTGCTATGTGTATTTACTGAATTTAAAAATCAGTGCTGTTTGCTCATCAAACATTTCTCATTTCACCACCCTTCCTCCAAATTGTTCAGGTTCCTGTTACAACAGCACCCCAGCCTGCCATCACTTCCTCATACATGGAGAGGAGGCAGTCCTCACAGATTCCCTCAATACAGGAATTTGAAGTAAAGACTACTTTTATTTCTTATCTTACTCTGGAAGACATTAAGTCTAACTTAACATCTGGAAGAAATGCCAATGAATCTTACTTGATGAACACGTCCTGGACGAACTGGATGAAGGTGCTACTGGAATGCTTGACTGATGGGTTGAAACTCTTGGGATATAGGTTGGCACTGATGGAACATTTGTAGAAAAGTACTGTGGATATGGGTTAGCACCTACTTGTGGCCTGGCAGAATAGTAGTTTTCTGTCTGGAAGCCATGATTTTCATAGTAAGGTGGTGGATTCTGAATGGTAACGTTATGAGAAAAAAGAAAAAAAAAAAAAAGCAAGACTGCAATTAGAACAAAGTAAATTTGAGATGCCACCTTCATGCAGAACTCTACTAGAGAAGGAATCATAGAATGACCTGGGTTGAAAAGGACCACAATGTCCATCTAGTTTCAACCCCCTGCTATGTGCAGGGTCGTCAACCACCAGACCAGGCTGCCCAGAGCCACATCCAGCCTGGCCTTGAAAGCCTCCAGGGATGGGGCATCCACAACCTCTCTGGGCAACCTGTCCCAGTGTCTCACCACCTTCTGAGTGAAAAACTTCCTTCTAATATCTAACCTAAACCTCCCTTGTCTTAGCTTAAAACCATTCCTCCTTGTCCTACCAAATTCTAGCTAAAGCAAGTGTCCACCATACCGATTTACATGGAGAAAGAGATTTATATCATGTGCCCAATACCTCACACTCTGAATAATAAAAATAGCAACAGAGTAAGCCCTGAAGGCATGTTAAAAGATCAGTTTTCAGATCCAAAATAATTCAACCTGAAAAGGATTCTTAAACCCAGCCTACCAGGTAGCTGCACTAGTCATTTCACTTGAACATCAGTACAAATAAGGAGTAAGGTTCAGGCAATACCATCATCAAAAAAAATGTTGATAATTAACAGCCCTTACATGCTCAGCTGTCCAGGTTTAAGAAAAAGGCTTACTTGCCATTTTGTTCCATGGCAATGCAAGGCACACCTGAGCTATTTCCAAAACACCCTGGCCTACAACAGGTTGCAGAATACTTATCCTGCAAGAGACGTATGAATCAGAAGCCATTCCAATCTCTCTCAAGCATACGGTTTAAAAGCATAAACCTAATCCCAGCAATATCTGAGCACTTGAAATGCTAATTAATTCAAGCCTCTTACACCTGTCTTGCCATGTGTCTTTCCCTTTATGCAGAAATCATGACAATTCCTTCTATCCACCTCTTTAAAGACTTACTAACCAGCACATCCCTCAGCATTCTAATAGTTGTAAAGAAACACCACCTCATGAAAGCAAAAATTCAGAAAGGAATATTTTGTTCACTTACTACAGTAGAGGTCATCTTTCCTTTGTCAGCAGTACTGAAACAATTCAAGTGTTTAGACGTAAAGCCTGAACCTATAAAAAAAACAAAGAGTGGTCATAATGGAAATGGTTATAACCAAAAAGCTTACTCCACCTCTCTCATCAGTTAAATCTTTAGAAAAATGCCAAAACAGGGGGAAAAAGGAATATGGAAGTCTTTTGAGAGAGAGCGTAAATGAAGGTACAGCTTGAAACTGGAGCTTGATAACCTCTCAATACAACCCAGTGGATCACACAGTGGCAGTCATTCATCCACAGGAGCACCACGCAAACCCAGAGGATGGCAGCGGTGCCCACTCCTGCTACAGGAGTGGCAATGTCCAGCAGCCTGGCAGCCTCCACCCGCTGTCGGCACCCGGCTGCTCCTCCCATCCCTCTCGGCACTTACTCATGTATCATCAAAGCTCGTGACACGGAAACAAGAATGCAAACAAAACATCAGGAAATACGAATTCAATGGATTCATTTAATAATACTACATCCGGTAGCCCTGCAAACTATGCCGTTTTCACTCTCTTCCGTGTTGGTTGTGTGTTGTGGCCACCACACCAAAAATGGGGAAAGAAGCACGGTGGGGAAACAGCAAGCCAAAGCAATGCAAATGTTAGAGCTGCATCCAATGTTTCAAGCATATAGCAGTTTATTTTAAAGTTAAACATTAACGCTGGGTAAAACCAACAATTAGCAGATACACAAGACATGCGACAATGTTTGCTGCCATATTTCCAACACAGAAGGCTACACACCACCACAAGCAATCATTTTAATAAATGATTAGATTTACAGAGACTTCTCATAATGTTACTCTACGTGAGAAAAAGCAGAGAAAGGGGCTCAGTCACATGCTGAGCAATACAGTTCTCCAGCTTTCCAGCCCAAGCAAGCCCTGCGCATGGGCACAGAACGGCCCCTGTTGAAGGCCACTGCTGGAGGCAGCAGTTGCATAAAGACACAGCACAACTCAGCCTGAGGCAAGAAGTTCTTTTAGAGCCTGCACCTAGATCATTACCTCACCCAGAACCGAACTGCAAACATCTCTGAAGTGAATTTCAAGAGCAGCTTAGCACAAAAGAGCACGCCAAGTTCACAACAGCTTAGGATGGCTGTTCATGGTATTTATCTATTAGTACTACCAGTAAGAAATAAATAGAATAGCACTCTGTTGAACTCTTGTTTGCATGGCAGACAAGAGAAAACAAGACTTATTCTTACTTACAGTAAGTAGTTCATCAAGACTGGTGACTAAGTCTGCATGACTTCTGTTTTATGTTGCATCCATTCTTGGTCACTTCATAGTAGCGTTGGGTAAACTCAGTTCTGCCCAAACTTATAGAACAAGTAACACTTTGCAGGAAGATATTGCTGTTCCTTGTTGCCTGAAAAAGAAGGGGGAAAAAAGGTACAGAAGTTTAGCGATAAAGACAGAAGAGAATATTATGTGATTTTGAGGCAAGCCAACAGGAATCACAATTTTTAAATAAAAAAAAAAGCTCCAAATATTTTCTATAGTACAATTTGAAATTCTTTGCCAGTTAGCAGGTGACAGGCTTCCTCACTCTTTTTTTTTTTTATAATAACTAAGCAACAGAGATTTTTTTTTTTACCTCGACTATAACTACCACTCCCAACTCAGTTCTTGTGAAGCTGTTTCCCATGCAACAGATTAATAACAGAATTTCGATTATCACACCACAAAACATAGGCAAGATAAGACATGACCATATACATATTTCCATGAAATTATTTTCTAGGAAGTTAAAAAGAAATTAAAATGAAAACCACTGGACTCCTATTAAATTGTACACACTTCAAAGCCAAAAAAAAAAAAAAACAACCCAATGGGTAACATCCAATAACAGTACAATCTAGTCTTCTTAAACATGGATCACTAAGGTAGTTCAGGATGTTTTACAAATAACCAAGGGTACTGCAGCAGATTCACAGATAAGGAAGCTAGGCCATGGAAAAACAAACTGACCTGTGAAATAGTCCCCGTCCCAACAATGACAGAGCTATAAGGGATGGGTGTGTTATCTCAGACCAGTACTTTTGTCTCATGCGTGATATTTAAATACATTACACATAAAAAGTGTTATAAAGCTATGTTGATGAGGCAAAGTTTAGTCAGAACACAGAACTATCCTTTCCTTCCCCTTCCAGTCATTCCTCATCCACAAACATGTGACAAGCCATAATGGCACATTACATTTGAATAAACCTCAGAAGTCCTTCAGGGAGAGAGGGGATGGGGGAGTTAACAGGGACCCTTACGCAAGGAAACAGAGATGGAGCTCATTTCTGCAGCAACTTGAAAGAACAAGAGACAGGGCATAGGAGGGCAAAGCCTTGAACAACAGAGTCCACTGAGGCAGTGCCTTGCAGGTCAACATGCCGTGCACCTTCCAACTTTGGGAAAAGTATAGCCAAGGATTGAAAAGGAACCATCATTCACATGCAATTAAACCCTTGAATTTCAAAACCTTCAGTCTGTTCCAATGTTGAACAGAATGAGCATTTGGACACCTGTATCACAAAAGTTCCAAAAACCAAAAAGTTTTGCTTTTCTTTCAGAACTCTGAAAATAAAGAAATAATGCTATAATTTCTAGTGATAGACAATCATATGTACAAAATGTACAGCCATCGCTAACATGGCATACTGATGAATACACTGCCTTGCAGCAGGCAGCTAATACTCAAAATACCACAGTCTCTTTTCACATGTGCCTTAGGAGCTTTATCATTATAGTCCTGTCATGGGTAAGTCGGGTTGAAAAAAAAAATATATATATATATATATACACATATATACACACATACACATAAAATGTAGGGTTTTTTTCCAATAAAAGATATCAGGATAGAAAAAATTGAAAATACTAGATTGACCCCAGACAAATTCAATCCAATACTTCTTTAGAAAAGTTTTTCAGTAAATTTATGCAAATTAACTTTGCATATGTAAAACAAAGTTACGATTTGATAGGTTTTTCATGCAAGATGTGAAAACGTTACTTCCTTATTACATATCATGCTCTAACTGTTAATTAGGAGCAGTACCATGCTCTAAACATGTTAATTAGGAGCAGTGCTCTACAAACACCACAAGCTACATTAGTTTCTGCAAGCATTCATAAAGAGATAGCCATAAGTTGTTTCCATGCTTGGACAAGTATGTCAACAGGATGGAATGACATCTTCAAGCATCCTAATACAACACCATAAATAACAGAACCATTAAGGTTGGAAAAAACCTCTAAGATCATCTAGTCCAAATGTCAAATCCAGAAAATTAGCTACCGAAGCAGAGATGTATAAAGACAAGAGTATGCCTGCTATATTTCTATGTTATTTCACTATATATCTAATGCCATTTCCTCAACAAGAAATGTTAATAGCTGTTTGCCTAGCTCTATTATAGGTATCATCAACTGAAAAAAATAAAACAAGCTACAAAATCCAAAACTCATTCTTGATAGCTATACATGCATTAGAGCAAATGCATGCAAACAAGGAAAAAGGGAGAAGAAAGAACAAATAAAAATGAAAAGCATAGAGAAAAGATCTGCTTTTAAAAGGAGGAAGCATAACAGCATCCAAATGATCCATAAAAAGCAGTGACGAACACTGAAACCAAGTCATAAGCAATAAACATTCGTCCTTGTTATCCAGATAAAGAAATACAGCATACCCATTAAAATGGCAATGGAGTGATCCCAGTGCAAAGCTCAACCTTAACAAGTCAACATGTTATGCCTTTTATTGACAACGTTACAAATGAAGCATACTGTTATGTGTTTATATCCAACTGCTTCACGTCATCCAAGAAGTTTCAGTGGATACAGGAAGCCAACAGTAACAGTAAGGGGTAGGGAACAAACAAGCGAAGAAACAATTCCAAGTTCACTTACAAGATCTTTCCACATACTGTGCAGTTTCTACCTTTGCTTCCTGGACAAGAAAAAAGAAAACAGTCATCTGGACACCACACTCAGACATAAGGCCTGATTTTGAATGGTGCTATATAGAGCCCAGAGTTGCACTCTGTGATCCTTGCAGGTCCCTTCTGACAGAGGATATTCAGTGATACTACAGCCTTGCAGAGAACTATGTAAGACTATGCAAATATTTACATGAAACACATTTACTTTGCCACAATTGAACCTTGGCATTCCTACATTTCTTAAGAAATCATTTTGGAGCTATTCCAGATTTGCTCCTATAAATATCATTAAACCGTAGAACTACTTATCAACAGGTGTTAAAAAACAGTACCTCTTGATAAGCACTACCGGGAACTCAAACAAAGTCCACAATACAACAGTATTTCCAAGGTCAGAAAACCGAGATTCATTCCACTTACACAAGATAAAGCTCAGAGTATAGCAGTCTCATTCTAAGCAGTTAAGGGATGCAGCTCTCATACTGTGAGTGACGTCCTGAAAAAGTGTTATCGTGAAACTCTGCCTATTACAAATACATAGATGATTGTATATAGAAAATAAAAATAAAAGTTAGGAACGGTGGGGTGGGAAAAGAAGCAGAAAAGGTGTTGTCTAACTGAGCGGCAGAAGAGTTATGACCCTATAAAAAGCTGTTTCCAAAACAAGAGAGGGCAAGAGTCCAAACAATCAGATTTGCTGGGATGGCAGAGCTTGGTCAGTTATTAGTTGTAGCTGAGATTAGTGTCCACAGCACCCAGAACCTCACAAATCACTTTGCTGCTAAAGGACGCAGCAACTGTCTGCCTGGCATTTGGATGCATTCTTCCTCAGTACTACAGGCTGCCCAGAGAGCTTGTGGGTTCTCCTTCTCTGGAGACATTCAAAACCCACCTGGATGCGTTCCTGGGTGATCCAATCTAGGTGTTTCCACTCTAGCAGGGGATTGGACTAGATGATCTTTTGAGGTCCCTTCCAATCCCTGACATCCTATGATTCTGCTCACTTCCCTCCACAGAGAAACAAACAAGCTCAACTTCAAGTAGCACAATGCATGTCTCAGCCTGCAGCAATGAGACTTTGCTGGGGATTCAGGGCCAGGGAAGCTTGCAAGAACGCTTGTTTGCCATATCCAAATTGCAGACACAGTTAGCAGGAGATAGCCACACTGCTGAAAAATAAATAAAAAGTAGCAACGCTAACGAAACTGACTTATTTAGGTGTTTGCCCAGGTCAGCAGCTTTCCATCAGGACTTTTCCATTCTCAGGACTCAGCTCAGTGAGAAGCTGTGAACCAAAGGGTCTGTGGCAGATGACAGAATTGTGAGATTTGGAAGAGATCTCTGGAGATCACTGAATCCAAACCCCTGCTAAAGTGGGTTCCCTACAGCAGGCTGCACAGGAAAGCGTCCAGACAAGTCTTGAATATCTCCAAAGAAGGAGACTCCACAGCCCTCTGGGCAGCCTGTTCCAGTGCTCTGTCGCCATCAGACGAAGAAAAGCCAGCTCCTGCTAGGGGACTGGATTCACCACACTGAAGCCCTCATTACCAGAGACTGCATTGAGGACGCATGTGTTCATAACATGGGATGAGCACTAACGCAGCAGCACAGCCACAGCCGAGTAGCAGCAGCTGAACCTTGACCATTTCACTGACCAATGCCCCAAACAGTGTCGTCTCACCCCTCACATTCCGCTGCCTCGCTCGAAGCAGCCCAGTCCCAGTAAGCAAAGCCGCTTCCTTTGGCTCTTTGTAATGCGCTGAAGGCGTGAGTGTAACTTTACTCAGGGCAAACGGGGACACCCAGGACAAGGGCTCAGTGTGAGAGCAGTCTGTCAAGTTCACCGACCCACACTCGGCCCTGCAAACCTGCGGTGAAACCCGAGGTGCGGAGAGGTGTGAGCTTCAATGGGACCGCCGGAAGGAGCGTGCAGGGGGGTGAGCGCAGCACTCCAAGCTCTGGCCTGGAAGCCTCAATGATACACAATCACAGAATGGTTTGGGTTGGAAGAGACCTCACAGCCCAGCCACCCCAACCCCTGCCGTGGGCAGGGCTGTCCCCCACCAGCTCAGGCTGCCCAGTGCCTCATCCAACCTGGCCTTGAGCTCCTCCAGGGATGGGGCACCACAGCTTCTCTGGGCAGCTGTGCCAGCACCTCACGGCACTCTGGGAAAGAATTTCCCAGTAACATCTAAAAATATTATATGATTCCTGTAGGAAGGCACTCTACCAACAGAGACAACCTTCCAAAATTTGACTAGGCAAACTATGACACCTGTAGCCAGAAACTGGCACTTCTGCAAAACAAAAAACCACAGAGCAGCAACACAACGAAGAGGTCCCAGAACTTGAGGCTGCTTTGGTTTATCCTGCATAGGAGCGACAACGCTCTGGCACCTCGGAACAGCCGCCTTATCCCGCCGCATTCTGCCTCGCGGCATATCCCTCCTCAGGAGAAGCCGTCGCTGCCCCTCACCCCGGCACGATGGGGATGTCACATCGGAACCCTCCTCACCCCAAAAGCCAAGCCCCGGCTTGGCTGAAGCCCTCCCAGACGCCCGGCCCCGCGGGCGAGGAGCACCGCGCTTACCTGGAGCGTAGCGCGGAGCAGACGCGGCACGGCGCGCCGGCAGCAGCAGAGGGTTGGGGAGGAGCCAGGCAGCGGGGGAGAGGCTGAAAGGGGACGGGCAATGAATCCACCTGCGGGCACCTGCCCACCCCCTCCTCCGGCCGGGCAGCGGGCTCCCAGCCTTCCTCCCGTCCCCTCTTTCTCCTCCTTCTCCCTCGCCCTTATGCAAAATAAACGCCGCAGGGAAGCGAGCAACGAGAGCTGTCGGCCCTTCCCTGAAGTGCGTAGGTCGGGAGGTGATAACGAGTGCTCCTATCGTGCTCGGGTTGGAGAAATAATTTCCTTTTTCCTTTTTAATAGCAATATAATAAAAGGGTGCTTTTAAAGATGCCTGCGCTCTCAGTAGTCACATTACTCTGGTGGCTCAGGGTGACTCTCCTTTAAAGCAGATCTACAAACGAATTGGGTTATTTCTGCCAAAACAGCTCCACCGCAAAATAAAAAATCACTTGTGTCCAAAAACCTCAGAGTGTTACTGGGAAAGTCCATAGGAAAATGAAGAACTTATAGCAGTGCATCCAGATTACCTACAGCGTAGCTCTATGCTGTGCCAGCATCTCTGTAGGGAGACAGCAGAGAAGGGAGCAGACCAAAGTTGGGCATGAGAAATGTTTGGGTTGTCTTTGTGTTTTCAGATGTGTGTCAAGGAATGACATCAGGCACACTAAGAAGCCAGGATCATACTTCAGTGTTTTTCTAGCTATATATATTTATTTAAAGACAGACATACCTTCTGATTTTTCAGTACAAAACAGTGTTTGCTGAAGTATCATAGTGGGTATGGAGGTGGTGAGTTGATAATTGGACCTGATGATCTTAGAGGTCTTTTCCAACCTTAATGATTCCATGATCTTTTAAGTTTTACTTAGGCTTTCCAGCTGTGCCTTTCTGTTGGGCAGTTTTGGATTATGTTCTCCCAGAAAGAGTCAGTGAGACTCAGATATTTTCCAGTGTGGATTCAGTTGCAGTAACTATTCCTCTAATTTCTCCTGAAGCAAAATGTAAGGATGTTGCATGTCACATCTGCAGTGGTCCTCTGAAGCTTACACTTGTGTGGCACATTCTTGTCTTTAATCTACAGTAACTCTGCCAATGGCCCTCAGAGCTTAGAAGAGCTTTAGTTTTGTGATAGCACAAGGGGGAATAGCTTTAAACTAAATGGGAGAGATTTAGATTAGGTGTTACTGGGAAATTCTTTCCCCAGAGGTTGGTGAGGTGCTGGCACAGCTGCCCAGAGAAGCTGTGGTGCCCCATCCCTGGAGGAGCTGAAGGCCAGGTTGGATGGGGCCCTGGGCAGCCTGAGCTGCTGGGGGGCAGCCCTGCCCATGGCAGGGGTTGGAATGGGTGGGCTTTGAACTCCCTTCCAACCCAAACCATTCTGTGATTCTGTGATCTCCCTTTGGATTTGTCCAAATACCCTGCACAGTGGCTGCAGGTATGGAGAAAGGGAGATGTAAAATATAAATGCTGGTTCTTCTATGAGTTGATGGTGTCCGCTTCTAAGGGATTACACTAACTGAGCAGAAGGACAGAGTAGCAGGGAATTGCCAAGTGTGCTCTGTTGGGAAGAAGCCTTAGAAAGGGAGCCATGTGGCTTAGTGAACTGCAGACAATACCAGCAGGGCTGCCATGGCGGGGATTCAGTGGGGCCCCATTACAATGAGAGGCACTCTGCTTAGTTACAGACTGGAAGGCCTGGGCCCCCGCCAGCAGCCCGCTGATTAATGCTGTTAGCACCTTTTCTTCTCAGAGGGAAGACAGACGGATGGTAGAGCTGGCCAGGGAAAAATGCACTCCCTCTTTACCCCAATTCTCTCTTGCTTCAGTCTGGCCGGAAGGTTGGTTTCTGTCTCACTGAAGGGATGATGTTTCCGTTCTCTAACATACAAAAAGCTTTTTTTTTTTTTTTTTTTTTTTTTTTTTTTTTTTTTTTTTGCTTTGCTTTTTTTTTTTTTAGTTGTTGAAATCGAGTTAATATTCTGCAGGCTTAACTTGGCTGCTAACAGAGGTCAAAGGGACGCTCACACAGAGCAGCAGAGGTGGAAAGGGGACATTGCCTCCTTCGTCTCCCTTCTCCTAGCACCAGAATTTGCAAGGTCTGCTCAGCTTGTCCTTTCCAGCTCAGGACCAGCTCATGGCCCCTTCTGCAGCACATTTGTGTATATGTCTACATTAATGTCTTTTAATAATGCAAGCTGACTTTTGCAGAGCTGGATGCCAAGCCTTCATTTCATTAATGTATCACAAGCCAGGGCTGGGCTGGGCCTTCAGGGCTGGTGCATACCTGCAGAGGACCTTCTCTTGCCCAGAGCTGAGATGTCCCAGCATTACCCAGTGCTTGCCTCCACTCTTACCCAAACATCTTTTTTGCACTTAATAGTTTAAGTGTTCAGTGAGCCACTTCCTCCTCTGCACTTATGCTTATGTGGGGAAGGGGAGGATGCTTGCTTTTGTTTTTGCAGGGAAAGAAGTTCATGCTTCTGTACACTTGTGCTAGGGATCAGTGTGTGAATGAACTGATCCCCTGAACTGTTTGGCAGCGCTGCCCACTGCATCTCTCTCCACATGAAAACGGCACCATTCCTTGGCTTCTCCTTCTACTTTACTCTTGAAGGCCATTAGCCATAGCTTTTATTGTTCCCACAGTGATCATCATCATAGTTCATTTCCTACTCTGTTAATACTTAGCGTATAATATTCAGCTTTTGCATATGTTTCTCCTGTCTAAGAAAAATCTTAGGGCACAGGAGATGAAGTTTTATCTAAAGAAAAGCTCCGAAGTCCTTACTTAAAGCGTCATGGTGAGCTTGCCCTTACCACTTTGGGACCACCACACAGGACTTCTATCCAACAGAAAGAGAACTAAAGTTATCTCTTGATGAATTCAGTGCTAAAGCCCTAAGCTGGACACAGCCATTTGGATAGCAAACTGGCTGCCAGCAGGTGTTTTAAAACCCTACTGATAATCCCTCCATACTACCTAGTAAATCTCAGCCATTCTCGAGGAACCCCATTAACTATGACACAGACTTAAAGCTGGTGAGGGGTCTGGAGCACAGGCCTTGTGGGCAGTGGCTGAGGGAACTGGGATTGTCCAGTCTGGAGGAGAGGAGGCTCAGGGGAGACCTTATTACTTCTACAACCACCTGAAAGGTGATTGTGATGAGGTAGGGGTTGGCCTCTTCTCCCAGGTAACAGCGATAGGACAAGAGGGAATGGCCTCATGTTGTAACAGGGAAGGTTCAAGCTGCAAATTAGGAAAAATTTTCTTCTCAGAAGGAGTGGTGAGGCAGTGGCACAGGCTGCCCAGGGAGGTGGTGCAGTCACCATTCCTGGAGGTGTTCAAGAGCCGTGTGGATGTGGCACTGAGATTAGTGGGCATTGTGGTGATGGGCTGCTGGTTGGATTAGGTGACTTTAGAAGTCTTTTACAATATTAATGATTCTGTAATTCTGTGATTCATCCTCCCGTCCCAGCTTTAAGCACTGGGGATCTCATTATGCCCTACTTGTATTTCTTTTTCAACATCAGGAGAAAGAGCTCTGTTCAGCACTTCCCAAGAGGTGCTACAGTTACACATTCATCCACAAAACTACATCAGTCACCTCTTCTAACTTGAAAACTTAATTAGTCATTTAATAAGTAAGCTTAAAATTAACGTATTTTGACTTTGGAAGTACATTTGCATCTGCTGCTATTAAAAAGAATACACACACACACACATTTTCTCTGCTTTAAGTCTATTTGAAAATCAAACTAAATGAGCAGACATCTCCAAAAATCACATGAAACAAGAGGTATTCCTTCATCAGCATATTAACTGAAGACACGGAAAACTTACACGGACTGAAACCAATTACTGTTATCTGGGAGTAGGAGAGGGCAGCATGCACTGCAGATTACAAAGGTGTGGCCCTAGGAACATTCTCACTTCTTTCCCAGCCTGTCACAGAATTTTTCTGGAGTTTCAAGCCCCACACAAATGGAGAAACAGAAAATTACCTCTTCTTGATTCTTTCTTTCTTTTTTTTTTTTTTTTTTTCCTCCCAGCTTTGCTTTCTCCCAGGACAAAGAAAGTCTCAGAGTTGAGAAATTCTTTGCTTACTCCCAGAGGGAAGAAACCGTCAGGGATAATAAGTGACCTTGACTTGCCTCAAGGTGCATGGCATTTCAATGGGTTCCTTGTCTATCACCATAAAACAAAGAGAATAAAAAAATCAAATACTGCTCTTTATTGGATATTTCTGGGCGTAGAATGTAAAAGCAGCTGCATTTTCCTCCATTAAAATAGAATCCACCCTACAAATTTGACTTGCTGTCATCAAAACAGCAGTAGTCTCATGGCACAGAAATTGAACAACTGTAATATATTGCATGATTTTTTCCAATTCTCAGGACCTTTTTTCATTGATCTGATTGTTTGCTTTGTGCTGTACCTATAGCACAAGCAGCCATAAATCCTTTTGCCTGAAGAATGCATCAGTGAACATGAGTTTCAGTGCAGACCTATCTCACTGTTTTTATAAGAAATTACTCAAATGAATCTTGAATTGCATTTTAAAGTATTTCATTCAGTGGGAATTTAGAAAAGGAAAATGACTCAAATATTTTGCAATTAGTTTGGAATTAGTGGCAGAACCATGTTTTAGTAGGAATTAGAATCAGGTCTACTAGTTTTGCTGGTATATACTGAAAGGGGGATAAAAGAAACCACAACATGGTTGTTGTTTTTTTTTTTTTTTTGTCCAGTTAAAAACCAAAAGTGAAGTTCTGAATCCAAATGTAACCTTAGACAAAATTAATATTGATGTAACAGTTTTTCTGACCTATCATATCATAAATCAACAAATCACTTCTGTTTTAAAGATCCAGCAAGACTACTGTTCCACTAATTTTCATTTCTTTGATAATAATTCTATGCAGAAGATAAAAAAAAAAGAAGGAACTAGATCAGCTGAATTTTCTGAATACCTGCATGAGATAACCAGAGATAAATCGTATCCAAAAAGAATTGCCTTTTGTCTGTCTGAATAAGAAAGCATTTGGGTTTTCTTCACTTTCAATCCTAATGCAGCTCCAGATTTGCTGCAGAAAAAATTCGGCTGACTTGTTTCTACCTG